AATATATTCATATCATGAGATTGAGTTCTTATGAGAATAATTTATCAGATTAATATTTTTAAGAAGAAAAATTAAGCAAGTATTAAAAACATTTTCATTTACACCCATTTTTTAAATTCATTTGATGAAATATTCTAATTTTAAATGTCATGTTTTAATCAACTGTAAGCAGAAAATCTGTAAGCCTTTATTAACAGAAATAAAGGCTGTCAAACATCCATGTGTGTAATTAATCTACATGACGTCTGTCAGCAACAAACAATAAGAGTCTATGAAAAAAAAAGCATGGTAAGTACAGAAGTGGATCTGTGATAAAAGTGAGTAAACTTGCAAAGTATTAAAAAAGAAGATGATCAAAGTGCCTTAAAGTTTAAGGAAGTAGCAAAGCAGTTAGCCAAACAAGATAGCATGAAGAGATAAGTACTGAATATGCAAACAAAAAAAATATGAGATGAGTCTTAAGCAGTCAATTGAGCATATTCAGATACAGACCGATGGAAAGCTAAAATAAAAATTCAAAAGGTTCAAAACAAAAATTGAAACAAAAATTACATAAAAATCTGATGCATCAGAATATAAAGATTAAAGATTTGTAAAGCTGGCTCACAGATGTAAAGGATGACTACCTATTAGTTGTTCTACAACTGGTTGAATCTTTAAATTGTTTATTTTTTTCTATGTTTACAGGTGGCGACACTAAACTAATTAACAAGGAAATTAGAAATTTCACCCAGCTCATTTCACATTAATTTTCCTAAAATGAGGGGGAAAGGTTGCTTTTCCTGTTGAGCTGACTGCACATAAGAAATTAAAAGTTTTATCAGTGTATTTTGTGGTATTATCCTGATAATGATAAAAGTGACAATAAGTATTTACTATATCTTTTTTAGGTAACCCCATGACTATGTGTCACAGCAATTATAACCCTTCAAACACAAATACTGCTCTTCCCAGTGACATAAAGAAGTGTGATTTATATCACTAAGCTACAGACAGTAAGTGTACTTTGAAATGTGTAGGTATTTTTTGAGGCTTTCACTGAAGAAACACTAGAGAAAATTGTAAAGCTACCCATTCCAACAATGAGGACGGTTTTGGGGTCTTTTAAATGTATATCATTGGACTTTATTGTAACAATCATGAATCAAAATTCTTATCATGGTATATGTGACTGGCTGCAAACAGTACACGAAGATAAATTCAATCTCTACTGATTTTGAAGTCTGTTGAGAATGCTGTCAAGCCCTTGAAGAATTTAAGTGCTGACAGTGTGTATGCCAGCATGGCTCCGTTTAGCTAAGATGGTGACAGTGTGTTTTATAAGAAGTCACCAGTGAAAGCTACTGCTGTGGTAATTGCTTGTGTTTCACAGCAGAGAAGTGAGTGACTCACTGGACTCTCCAGAGGGGGAAAAGGCAAAAGGCACTCTGCCCCTGGTGAAGATCTGAAAATAATTAGCAAAACAAACCCAGCAGTAACGCGGCATGTTGGACACACATGCAAGAAATCTGGGTTCACACACAGTAAAGCTGCAGGTTTCAGCAGGTGAAACTTAATACTTTTTTAAACCTTTCTAATGCTGCATTTAATGAAATTCATCCATTCATGCATGCATCCATGCATTCATTCTCTAACATGTTCATCTCTAATGGGGTGATGAGATGAACACATATTAATGTGTTCATCTCAGTTCTCAGAAGGCTTTTTATTGAAAAAGCCTTCTGTCTTAATTGTAATCCTTATTAATCAGCTGTCAGATTTATTTGACCTGTTTTTGTTATTCGATTAATACTGGCCAAGTCCACAGCGGGGCTGTCTGATGGTAACAGGCAGATATCTGTGGGTGTGTCTCTGGGAGCAGCTGTTGGACACGCTGCAGAGTGTCGTCTGAGTGTTTCAGCACTGCTGTATATCTTAGTGTCACCACAGATTAGTGGTGTGATTCTGAGACGAGTGCTTCATTACAACAGGATCATTATGGCTTGTCCTGTTGACATGATGCATGCTATCACCATGTTATCTAAAAAAATGGATAACATGCAAAGCAATCTACGACATTTTTTTGTGAGTGTCCTCCCCTTTTACTTTATGCTAATAATAGCAGATTCATTTATATGTATAAGGAAATATTATTGCTTTTTTAAAATAACAAAAACAGCATTACTCCAACAGTAGAGAAAATTCAACATGTAGACAATAATAATGATAATGATGACAGTGTGTATTTAATCGTGATGTAACATATTAAACCAGGAGTAGTTGCTTAAATAGACTGGGACTGGCAAAAAAAATAAATAAATAACGTTTGCTTGCTTCGATACAGAGTTGCTTAATTTGTGACGCTCCACAGTATTTTTGTGACCGCAAAGTTTTTTTTTTTAAATGTGTGTGATGTTTCTTTCGTTCATTTTCGGGGATGTTATTTTTTTGTTTGTTTTTTTGTTTTGTCTTTCTTTCTATTGCTCTCAGGTTGTATCAGTGTGCTGTGTGAAGAAACTGAAATTATTATGGGTTAAAGGACCAAAAAAACAACTTCTTGATCCCTTTCTTGTCTCCTTGCCCTTTAATTTCCTTGAAAAGAGGGAAGGGGTTGTCTGTTCCCAGGGTTTACAAGTCTGTGGCCACCTTGATCATTTAGATTTCCCCCTGCTATTCACTGATTAACCCTTAACCTCCTCAGCCTCCACAACTATCTATCCATCTGTCCATCCCATGTTCCTGTTACCGGCTCCTGCTCTCCAACAACATTCCTCATGTGGGCCGTTTCACCATTTCATTTGCACTTGCGTTACTATGACTCCATGTTAAACGTTTGAGCAAAATTTAAAGAAATTGTGAAGCACACTCAGACCCATTCCTAGGTAAGTAGGAGGATCTATGATGCGAGACAGCCTACTGTATCATGTCAGCCTTCTCACTAGTATGATGCAACGACCAAACTGCATTGATCCGTGTCACAACACTCAGTGATCCAAAAGCCTTAGAGTATTATAGGCCATAAAGTATTTCTTTTGGATTCTTTGATTTCTAAACTGTACAAAACTGTTTTTCAAACCTTGAGGTGCAAACGACCTTAATCTTTTTTTAATTTTCGTTTCTTAAGAGAAACTTAAAACAAAACTAAATTAGTTAAAGCTTTACGCAATAGAACAACAAAGCAGTTTTACAAACAAAGTATGAGGATGTAAGCAGTAAAACAAACTGACAGACACAGAAGTTATTCTGATAAACAAAGGGGGTTTAGAGTTTCTAATATAAAGGAGAATAACAATGCATAATTATAGAAAACATGAATCCCCAGAGAATATTATTTGCATTAACCCTAACATATTTACAATATGGATATTTCTATTTCTAGTGATCTGCAGCCTCCGTACCTCAAATCTCCACTCTGTGATCCTGCTATATGACTCCATCAGTAATACCCATACTAAGGAGAAAATATACCAGCTTCTAATCAGTAGCATAATAAAACTTCCAATTATTTTTCTTTTTGCATTTATGGATGATGAATAAGCAGAAATTGTTAGTTTTGATTCATTTTGTGATTCACAAGCAGATCAGTGTTCATATACAACTGAAAAAAAATTGGAGTGACTATTTACATTTTAATCCTAATCCATTCATTTCTGCTCCCTGTGTGTGATCTGTGACCAGATTTCACACGTATGCTATGTGTTGTTAGTAATCTGTCTGATAAGTAAAATACAGCTCTGGAAATAATTAAGAGACCACTTAAAATGATGAGATCTCAGATTTTACTCTTTGTAGGTACATGTTTGAGTAAAATGAACATTGTTGTTGTATTCTGTGAACTACTGACAGTATGCCACTGAAATTTCAAGCAGAAATTTTGTATTTATTTGCAGAAAATAATAAATGGTCAAAATAATGAAAAAGATGAAGTGCTTTCAGACCTCAAATAATGCAAAGAAAGCAAGTTCATATTCATTAAGAAACAGTACGAACATTTTAACTCAGGAAGAGTTCAGAAATCAAAATTTGGTGGAACAACCATGAGGGTTCAATGCAGTGGTTTCTTCATTTTTTCCAGAGCTGTATACCAACACCAACAAAACACACCAAGTCTCACTTTTTACTGCATTTTTTGACCAATTTGAAGTGTAATCCAGATTTTTGTTGTCCTCAATGGCCTGGTTTTAATAACATTGCTAAAGAACACTAAGTACTCAGTCAGTTTCTTTAATAAGATGAACTTTGAGGTGAAATGAGCCTTTTTCTGTCATTTGAGCATTAAAATACACACATTAGTAGAAACACGTAACTGTGAAAAGCCAGATAAATAAGAGATGTTTCTGGAATAAAATTAAAAAACAAAGTCACAATTTAGCTAAAGATTTGTTCTCGTGGATCTGAAGAAAAAAAAATCACCCAAAACTACCCAAAAATTACAAAGGAATAGGCTCCATCTTCATCAAAATGAGTCAAAATGGGTCAGGACATTTTGATTAAGATGTTCTGAAGATCTAAACCCAAGCAGACCTACTTGATGTGATAGAAAGTTTATCACCTGCTGCGCAGTGCTCAAAAACTTAAGACAGCACAACAGAGTGAGCCAGATCCAAACAAGGGAATAACACCGCCATCTAGAGGCCAGAACGGCTCCCACACTTGGCTCGACTGAAAAAATGCTGGTCATGCTCTTTTGAGTTTCCCCTCGCTCACGCACTCTCCAACATGTGGCTCCAAGCAGGCAGGATGAGAGAGAACAATCAGAGAAACCAGCACCAGAAAAACACACGCACGCACACGCACGCACAACGTCTAAGGCCTTTTTTATCTGCTGCTTGATGAGACTCTGAATTATAGCTCCCCATGCAAGATCGCTTCCAGCCCACATGCAGGGTGAGAACAAGAGGAGAGAGCGAGGATAAGCACTTCTTCACACAGATAAAACTGAAAGGTCGGTGTGTGTGCATGCATGTGAGTGCGTGGGTGTGTCACCGTTTAGGACATAGAGAACACCTCGGCGATCTTACCCAGGATGGGAGCCAGGCGGAAGATGTCTGACAGACGTTTGTTCACCGGTTCATACGGAGACTCCTCCAAGAAGTCGTTACCTGCAACCAAAACAAACACAATGAGACATGGCTGCATACCAACACCCAACTTCCTGGTGTATTTATCATTTCTCATGGGGGAGACGGGGGGTGGGGGTTCGTGTTGGCCTTCATATGACATGGGTAATTTGGGTCAGTCGATTTCCACACTGGCACACAGCCACACGCTTGATTAGGCAGGTTGGTCAGCTGCATTGCACAACTGGAAACAGGCAAGGAGCTGGACGCTAAGAGCAACACTTCAGGATGCCACAGACAGCACTAGGCGGGGGAGGGGTGGCGGGCAGTATGCTTCATTAGTTGCAGGGGATGCAATTCAGGAGGTCAAGAAGTAACTCAGATCTCTCAAACAAATCAAGGGGGGGGGGGTCCTGATTCGTTTGGGAATGATTGTATTGGTTCTGCGTTGTGTTTATGTGAGTGTTTGGGGTGTATTCAATGCCCATTGAATACACCCAGATTTTGGATCATAGAAGCAAGCAGATAAGGCTGGCAGTTTGTGCCTCCTTCGTTCATGATTGCTTAAGAGATGATGTGGCTCTAAGCAGTAACTTTGCCACTCCTAGGGCCCCCTGCTGGCACTTAAAGTAGTTGAATCTAACCTTGAAAACCTAAATGATTTTAGAATCATTTAGGTTGATTTTAAAATCTACCTTTAACTAGATTTTAAAAGTAGACTAACAGACTCATATTTTATTAAAAATGCACTGATCAAGATTTACCAGGCCAAAACCAATTTCCTGTTTACTTTGAGATCTGACCTGTAAAAGATGATAAGATGCTGCAGGTTTTCTCAATAGAGGCGAAGTTATAAACTTGGGCTGCACTGATATCAGTTTTCTGACATAAAATGTTTGACTTGCCGATTTCAGTTTTGGCCGAAACCAATTTTTTTCTGAAAAGTAGGTAAATATCGCCACGAAGTGGCAAAGTTGGTAAAAATGGAGTGACTACTGTTAACTGTACACATGCAGTAATGATTGGTGAGCAGATCTCCTGATTTTCAGACCTTTGAAAAGGTATATAAAATTGGTTTGTTATGTGATCTCCCAAAATTAAGAAAACATGGACCGATTTATCGCTGCAACTCTCTTATAAAGCCAATAGAAAAGAAAGAAATTACAAGATTACAACCCTTAATCATAAATCCATATTAATGTAGCCTTCCAAACCAAAGTGTTTGAAAACATGCATGTTGTTGTATTGCATGTTCTTGCAACTCCTAGCTTTGATGCATTTAATAATAGGGGAGAAGTTTGCTTTTACAAAAATCAGCTGGTTCTAATAATCACTGTATCTTTATATTTTAACAAGAATTTGAACATTTCTGCTGCTAATCGGCCATGATATCTGTCAGTAGACTGAAAAGTATTAGTCTTTTTACTTTATAGAGAACAAACCTCATCAACTCAACCCAAATACATGTTAAGTGTTAAAAATTAGCTGTAAGTTGGTTCTCAAGTGAAATTCTGCTCAGGGCCTCATCCATATTTGACTTAGCCAAGATGCCACAAATCATCGCATCAACCTACAGTCTCTATGCGTCCAGAATGCAGACCAATTTTACCTAACTGGGGTCCAGCTAGGATAGCATCTCAATATTTCCATATTCATTTTAATTTAAGGACCCAGCATCTCAACTTATTAGAATTCTGGTATGTAGATACTAAAAAACACAAAGAATGTTGAAAATGATTCTGTTTTAGGACTGTTTGTTTGTTTCAATAAGACCTACATTTAAATTGGAAGCTTTAGTTTAAAAAATCTGGAAAGGGTTCGGTTCTGGTGTGCCATCTGATGATACTGGGTGGTTTATAGAAAACTTTCTGGAGATGCCCCAGGACTCAACCGTAACAGGAAGAAACAAATAAACAAAAACAAAATGTCTTTCTTATTATTGTGAATAGCACAAACCTTGTAACGTCTGATAGATCCCCCAGTAAATCCGCAGGCAGTTCTTCTCCTTCTTCATGCCCCTTTTGCACCGGCAGTTGTACAGCGGGCTCTGCTTGAGCGCCTCTATGGCGCTGCGGCACTCGTCCCTGGCCTCCACGCCGGTCACCTGGGTGAAGTTGCTCTCCTTGGCACCGGCCACGCACTGCCTCATGGTGCGGTACTTAGTGCTGCACGCCTGCTCCCGCAGACACTGCTCGCTGGCCCGCACGCAGTCCAGCCGAGAGGCGCCAGCGCGCAGGTTCTCCTCCGCGCAGCTCAGCACATCTGGAGGCGGAATGTACAGTGAAAATAAACCAGATGTAAAGAAAATGAAAACCAAAAATCTATAAAGGTTTGATTGTTTATGTAGCAAACATGAAAGCTTAAAGATTTTAAAAGCAGCTTTTTATGAAGCTCTAGGTCGCAGTTTGTTTGTTTTAAAATCAGTTTAACTGATTTAAGAGAGGTTTGTTGTTTTGGAACAGTTTGGAGACTTTTTAAAAAAAAATAATCTCACCTCTTATTACTGAAAAACGAGGCCAAAGTTTGTTTTCCTCTACAATTAAACTTACCTAAAAGAGGCAGAAAATACAACAGCGCGAAGATCATGGTGTCGAACAACAACCCGCGTCGAAAGAGAATGAAAGGAACTCAAAAGCGACGCAGTTTAATTCCCAGAGAAGTATAGAAATCCATGGACCAGACACGGCGTGAGCTCCGCTGTGGAGAACAGATCCCAGCTCGACTCATACGAACAATAAATCCCCCCAAAAAGGAAACCACAACGAACAGGGAAAAAGTGTCCAGCTTCTGTCACTTTTTCAGTATTCCCAACTCAAAAGCTTTTAGAGTATTTTCTTTTTTCGTTTTGTTTCCTCCCGCTTTCCCGTTCGGACTGGTCCGCTCAAACGCAGCGGGACACAAAAGACAACCAGGATCAGGAGATCCGGTCTGACAGCATGCGTCCTCCCCGAGTCCAGCCACTAGGATGTTGCTGCTGCCGCGCTGCTGCTGCGTCTGAGCACACAACCAACTGGAGTCCCGCCGCAGGTCTCCAGCTCACTCAGCAGCAGCAGGGGAGCGCCGGCTACCCCTCCCCACCTCACCCTCCTCACCCCGCTCTGAAACTACATCAATCATATTGTAAATTTACAAGAATGCAGCTTCCCATCACGACTGAACTCACTCACATGCAAAACTTGATAATCAGCCATTTTTAGTCCGGTTTTACTGGCGTTGATCAAGTTGAGAAACACGCGACTTCTCAGATGCTCATGGGAAGTAGAGTGTTTGTTTTAATGTTGAAATGAAGCAACCTTTGGTGTGTGTGTGTGTGTGTGTGTGTGTGTGTGTGTGTGTGTGTGTGTGTGTGTGTGTGTGTGTGTGCGGGTGTGTGTGCGTGTGTGTGTGTGTGTGTGTGTGTTTGTGTGTGCGCGTGCGGGTGTGTGTGTGTGTGTGTGTGTGTGTGTGTGTGTGTGTGTGTGTGTGTGTGTGTGCGGGGGTGTGTGTGTGTGGGTGTGTGTTGGGGGGAGGCAAGAGGGCAAAGTGCACGACCCCAGGCTGCTTTATTACGTGATGAATATAGAAACAACGAGTTGGTGGAGCCTTAGACAAACCTCCTCCTTCTTAGTAACATGGAATCCAGTCCAACTGGGTTATGAAGCACATTTAGAAACAATACATGGTTGAGCAAAGGGCAGTACATTAAGAGAATAAGCAGCAAATACAATGACAAGACAATAACTCATGCTGTGTGTTCAATGGCAGTGAAAAAAAAAAGTTTTCAAATTTGATTTTAAAAAATACAGTGAAGGTGGAAGGCTAAAAAGACTAGGGGCAAGCAGGAGCAAAGGCCCAATCAATCTGAGCTTTGGAATGGCCAGAAGACCAGAACTTAAAGGACAGTAGAGTGCAAAAAGTCTGAGAAACAAAGTGGACAAGGCTATTAAGACGTTTAATAAAATAAAAAATATATATATATATATATATATTGTTTTTTTTTTTTTTTTTTTTTTTTACACATTTCTTTACGTGAATGTAGTGCCGTCTTGTAATCTGGTGGACAGTTTTTACGGGCGAAGCTCATTAAATCATTAGGCCACCTAACATTTATTTAAAAATAAAGTTTAATATAAGTAAAATATAATATGCTACTATGAGAAGGTGAGCATATTTTGATTTTCCTAAAATAATATACTCAGCATATTAATCCACAATCCACATTAAGATATATTGGGTGTTTGAGCTACCACATCTTGACACCTCAAATATTCGTATTCAATCAATGGAAGTAAAATTAATGTCGTTCCTAGATTGGTTGCTTTGCAAACGTCAGCCTAGCATGTGTAATTCCACCTCCGTAGTCCAGCTTCTTATTTTTAATATTTTAGATATTATTACATGGAAAAATCTATGGATTATTATTTTTATTATTATTATTAGCCTATTTGTAAATCCGTGTATCTGTGAATAATGAGCAAATTCTAGTTGCAACACTAAAAGTGATGGTATTTCCTATATATTGGGTGCTAATTGCTTTAATAGTATAATGCACAATTTATTTATTTTTTCTGTTTGCTGGAACCTATACAAATAGAGGTTGTATGTCTGCCACTAGTTTAGAGACACACAACGCATCTGAAATCAAACACATAAGTCGTTTCACTTTCACTGTTTTTTTAGCTTCCCATTGGGTTCGGAGCCACGGATTGATATGAAACATAAACAAGTTTTTATGTTTCATTTTGACTTTAACGATGCCATACAGTTGACATGCCAATAATTCCAACTTCAGGAACTATTTGTATTATATTCACAACCACTAATTCTGAAAATCTGGTTTCCCAATATAAATAAAGCCATGTTTAACTTGTGGTTACACACAACACTGTACAACACTACCAGTTTCTGTTGCTAATTGTTGTTAGCATCGCAACAGTTTATAAATCTCATTGGCTTTCAGTATTGGAATGATTATGTGTTTGTCTGGGTTTAGAAGTCAATCCCAGATTTGTTGCTACACTCCTGAAACAAGCAAATTATATTTTGTTTTGACTTCAATAATGTCACACAGTCACATAGTCACATTTCTATATCTTGCATCTGTGCAAGAAATGTAAGTGGTGTTAGTCATAAAATATGGTACATGCACATAAAGTCTGCACAAGAGGTTAGTGATAAACACAAGAATACAAGAATGACGAACAACTAAGAATAAAAAAACAGTTACGCAAATGTGTTTCACTGTGAAGATGGTAGTTTGTTTTGTTGCAACCTGAAGTGTGAAGTAAACTTCAGTGGAATTTGAAATCAAAATATGTGAATAGGTTTGTGTCTTTTTGAACGATGTGTGTGCGCAGTTCTTTTTTTTTTCTTCGGGGGAAATTTATTGTAATTAATCGGGGGTCCCAGAAAATCTTTGGGAACCACTGGGCTAATGCATCACATATGCCCTGTTTTTTGGTGGCCACATAAAAATGCATGGGTGAATTTTCACTCCGGAACCTTTTTTTTATGCAGAAAGGTTCACCTGCAAACCATGTTTGATACTTTCTAAGTGGATAGCTGCAGGGAAGAAAAAACCCACCGGTGAGCACAGAGTTGACCACACCGTGGTGCTGTCGCCATCTGTTGGTCATCTTAGTAAGAAACAATCAAGTTTGTAACACTGTGTAACGAACAATGAGTGATACAAATGTCATTCCGAGTTCATCATTCACTGGGAAATTTTAACATGCTTTTTATAACTGTCACGTGTCTCTACCTTCAGCCCATTGATTGCCAATATCGTCCATTCAAAAGCTAATCCACTTGCTTAAATTCATGGGAGCTGTCAATGAGGTTCTCCGCATTAAAGGGTGGGCCGAATCAATCAAGTATGGCGGTGCCCGGCGCCGTAAATCAGCTCTCTCCCACGCGGAGCGGTCAGAGAGCTAACGGCGCGCGCTGCACTCAGACATTGGCTGGGAAGCAGCGACCATCGGGCAATAATCCCATATTTCAACAAAAAAACATAATATATATATAATTTAAAAAAAACAAAAAACAAGGTTTGTGTGATATAGACGAATCAATCCCTCAGGGTGAGGTTAATTTTTAAAATGACTTTAGGTTTTTGTTAGATGGGTATGGCTCGGGCCGATGGAAAAAAAAAAAAAAAAAAAAAAAAAAAAAAAAAAAACTCGGAACACGACAGAAAAAAAGAGACAGAAAGCTGGAACAAATGAGCGACAGGCTCCAGCTGCTGTGTGGGATAATTGTCTGCTTGCAATTCGATGACTCGGCTGTTCCGGAGTCTCAAAAGGGAGCCCTGCCAGTCGGCGCGAGGCTCGCTTTGGTGATATATGAAATGCCTCAATCAATATGTGATATTAATTTTGCAAATGAATGTCAGAATGATGTAGTCCCGGGGTCAGTTGACATCTCACGCTGTAATGTGCTTCATGGCACCGAATCAGAAGCTGGGCTCCGTCTTAACGGGAGAAAATTGGTCAAAGTCCGGCACTGCCTGAGTTATGAATACCCAGAGACACAATGGATTGCTTTTCAGAAAGCTGACTATGCCGTTAAAGCACTTCATAAAGTTAAACAGACAAACTTGATGAGAATTGATCAGCATTGGTGTGAAAGCAATTTCTAATCTGTAATCTGTTAAACTCTGACAAAAATGTTGATTTATTAATCCTAGCAATTAAAACAGCAAATAAAGTGTTGCGCAATAATATTCACACCCTTTAAACTGCTTTAAAATTTTGTCTCGTAATTAGGGATGCACCAATACAATCGATAGATAAATCTGCCTCAATTTCCTTAATTTTTGGTGATCGATGATTGGCTGATGCTTATGTGAAACTAATCTTAACTACCTGTCTGACAATCAGCCAACTGCCCCTTCTAGGTCTACAGTGAGAGGGAACTGGAATACCACCAGGTAACGATCAGCGTTGGCCAAATTCACAATTTGCATCTCCAGCTTTTGAAGGATTGGTGAGCGTGACTGGCCAGAAAACTGCAATCGGTGCATCTCTACTTGTCATGGTGTGTGGAGGTGAAATTGTGCGGCAGACACAATGGACCCAGGTTATGGCAAGTAAATGAAGGTTTAATAACAGAAAAAAACAAGAAATCCAGGCAACAGAGAGTGAGCAAGGCTAGGAACTAGACTCTGATAGCAACTGGGAAAACAATCATATGAACAGATATAGGACGGCAGTCAAGACGAGGACCCAACAACGAACACAGATGGGTTTAAATACATGTTTGTGTATTTAAAGGAGACAATCAGGGGAAACAAGGAACAGGTGAAATCAATCAAAGGGTAGACGGGACAACACAGACTCAACAGAAGCAACCTAAATAAACACAGAAAAACCAAATCCCTACACTACTCATTCCAATAAAAAAAGAAAGTGCACATCATTGGGATTTTATGTGAATGTCCAACATAAAAAATTACATAATTCAAATTCCACAACTAAATGTCACAAGCCACAGTAAGACTTAGAAAATTGTTCAAATAATTCTCCAACAAATTCCAACATTGTGCAGAGGTGGTGCAGCTGCAACTTCACTGAATTTATCTTAGGGGTCTGAATAAAATGCTTTTCAGATTTCAACCTTGAAATCTATTTTATTTCACAGGTACGTAATACTTTGTGTTGGCCTGTAATCTAAAATCCCAATTGAATTAATTTAACTTTGTGGTTATGACATCACAAACTGTGGAATATCTCATGAATATAGTACACCAGTCCACCTGGAAAACCAGAAAGGTCAGTAGTGAATAGAAAATTTAATTAACATTTAATTAAGATTTCATATTAGATATATATATATATATATATATATATATATATATATATATATATATATATATATATATATATATATATCAGACGTCGCCCGGCCAAACAAGGTCTGCGTCAGGTGTTGGGGAACCAGAGCACCTTGATGACAAATGGGCTACTGGAACAAGACGGAAATGGGCGAGAGATGAAAATGTGGATCTGTTGGAATG